TGCTGCTGTATTTAGAAAAAGCCTCAGGCATTTTCAGTGTAAACACAATTTTGAATATTTGATTATGCTTCTGTGGGCTCTAACAATGTCTCAAAGGAGAAAATGAGGCACTATGTCTTCTTAGTCTAATTTATGTATTTTCTTCTGTTGCTTTTTGCTCTTGTTCCTATTAGGCCCTTTTCTGCTGTGGATGTAAGGTACTGCATATGTGCAAATGCTCGGACAGACCAAATCCCCTTTTCACTATGTGAAAGTGCTATAGGGACCAGAAAGCAGCCTGCATGGGGAGTTGGTTCACTCAACGTGGGTTGCTGGGCTAAGTGGCTCTGTCCTGGCCCTACCTGACCCCATCTGCCAAAAGAACAATTGCCTTTAAGAATTTTACTGAGTGGTTTAGTCCTGAATTGGATCCCAGACAACCCCATCCCAGATTACTATACAGCATGAGCAAAGAAAGGATATAAACACTGACAAATTACTGTCAGCTATCTGTGAGTATTCTCCCAGGCCGCAGCAAACATGAGGGAGTTTAAGATCCCCTTCACTGATACCTGTCTTGATTTTGACTTGCTTGGGGTTGTGATATCTGCCTGTAAGTGCTGTGAAACTCGTACTTATTTTACAAAGGCCTCTAAAGCAATGAAATTCTTTTATCATCTTGAGCAAGATTCAAGCTGGTAACCAGGAGATAAAAGGCTGTTTTTCAAACTCCTAGTCCTTGGTTCTCCTTCCAAACACAAATAAATGGTCTAATTTTTAGCTAGGAATGGGGTTCACTATTTGACGTTTAGGAAATAGACAGTAGTTGTGGTATATCCATAGCTGGACTGGGAGACCTACCAGTATAAAATAGAATATTGGAACAAGACCTGGCAGACTTCTGTGTGTATGCCCAAATCCAACACATCAAACAATATATCAACATCAAACTAGTCCATCTTGTCTCATTATAAATACCTGCGTCCCATGATGAATTTCTAGTAGCCATAGTGATGGTACTGTGCAAATCAAATATAAAAATATTGCTGGTGAAAACCTGCGAAAGAAAAGACAAGACAGCTTGGTATTTTATCACATAGTAAATACTGTATAGTCTATCAATATCTGCATTGAAAAGCATCTTGTACCTTCTATCATATGGAGTATTCATAAATAGGATAAATGCAAATGAGAGTTGTTACTCTTGCTGAATTCCTTATGTTGTCAGCATTATGAATCACAGATTTATTTGTATATCCATCTAAGATCACATCTGGAAGTTTATTTAAAAACTCTTTTTAGAACAAATCAAAGGCACTTGGCTGTTTGTATTTCTATCACAGCATTCTCTGTGTTTAAGGGAAGAAAAAAAAAGCAGCAGCCTCTAGCTAACATGCTTTCTTATTCCATGAAGGATAAATTAATACATTGAGTCATTTCACTGAATGATGCTGGTTTAATGGCTGCTGATCAGAACCCTACGCATTGACACAGGAAAGGCAGAAATAGCATCAGTTTGCTTCAAACAAGCATTTCTTCAGTAGAAAGTCTTTCAGTGCAGGCTAAAATAGTTTATGAAAATGGATCTTGGCCTTATTTGTCCATTTGTGCTGGCAAATGTATAATTCTTTAGGATTTCTGTCTATAGTTCTTTTCTCCCTGTCAGTCTTCTATATACCTTGTGACGGTGAAGCTTACTATCTTCAGCTTCTTGAGCTGAGTGTATTCAGAAGTACTAGAGAGGCTTCATTACTCCTTCTACAAGCACTGATTCTTGTGAGGGTTGTGCATGTTTTCATGTTAAACGTGTGACAGTTCTGTTTGGGGTGGGGTTTTTCGGCAATCCTTATCCTTTTGGAGGAGGAATGAGGTCTGATGCCACAGATGTTCCCTCTAGCTCTGCCGTAGTACAGAGTGAGCTTCACTGCAGTGCTGCTGAAGTACACAGCAGCCTTTGCATCACTCACGTTATGGCTCGAGCCAGGGCAGTGGAGTCCAACTCTGCATACTTGCTTGATTCCTTCTATCCTGCCATTGGCACATTCTGCCATGAATTTAAATTGTTTATAAGTATGTAACTGCAGCCACGTTTTGGTCAAATGTTGTTGTATTTATTGTTTGTTCCTATCCTGAATATACCTTTATTTTTGTAATCATGACTTTTCCAGTGGAGATTAAGTATTGAGGAAAAGAAAAAACGCTGCTGATCAGGGAAATGACTGGGTTGCTGAGCTGCTATGAAATGTTTCAAACAGTCTCCTCTAAATAAGATAGTCCTGGTTTGGTTCTGGGGGAGATGGTTGGGTGTTTTTTGTTTTGGTGTTTGTTTTTTGGGGTTTTTTTGTGAGGGGAGGGTAGTGTTGCTAGTTTTGGTGGTGGGGGTTTTTTGTTTGCCTTTGAAAAAAAAGAAAAAGGAAAAGAAGTTAGTGATTCTGTAGGGTTTTATCCTGGTTATTTTGGGAGAGAACACACCTCTCATTTGAATGGGAGAACTAACATTTTACAGTATTTCCCGTAGGACTTGAGCACATGAAAAATCCATCCAGCTGGCAGGTTAGCAATACTGAGCTAATGATACCAGCTCAGGCCAGGAGACTTCAAGGGCTTTAACCCTGTCTTTCTTTCAGAAGGAGCAATCTACAGGAAATATTATGTAGCCAGGCCCACAATAATACTTCTTCTCCATGTCTGACATTTAATTTTTTTGTGCTGGTGTAATAAGTAAAGTCTTATTGACAAAAGACAAAGAGAGTATGAGGCTTTTGGGGACAGGAGAGTCCTTGGCACAGACTGCCCACTGTCTGGATCAGTGACTGTCCATGGCCTTGTTTCTATAAATGCAGATGCTACTGCCTGTTCTGAATACGAGTGCTTTCCACCAGAGTAGAAAGTTATCGTGACACAAGTGGATGCTGGCTGTTTGCCTACAGTTCTTACCTCTAAACATACTTTACTGTGCTGCTTAAAGTGCTAGAGAACATCCATTTTCAAAATTCCCTTCTAGCTAAATCTAGACTAGTCTTCTAGCCCATGTATTCATCTAAAGTGGATCTGCTTTCTGTACTTATTTTTCCCTGGATTTTCTAAAAGCTGCCCTAGCAAGTGTTTCTTCATGAAGTCTCTGCTGCTGCCTCCTCTTCCCAGTGAATCAGGTCTGCTCCCTCTGTCTCATAACCGTGCATTTGGAGCTCTGCTGCTGTTAAAACTTTTCTGCATCCCAGACTTTAGCATGCTTTTATTACATTCAAATTTAGAACATGGAACACTTGTGGGAATTGTCACACAACACGCTCCCGTTATAATGAGTTTCACAGGTTGCAATGGGCAGAATTTACAATCATTGACATATGCTAGAATACTTTTTTTTTGTCCTGGATTTGTCTCAAGGCCTGCATGCAGTTTCAGTTTTAGAAAAAAAAAAAATCCTAATGAAATCTTGACAATTACTTACATGACCTTTTTACAGAGCATTTGTTTTGGCTGACTGAGTGCTGATGAGCTGTAGATGACTGCTGTAATTCTTTAGATGCACTTAAAAATGCATATGCTTGGGCAAACTCTGCTATGACTAACTTTTGTGTTCATTTCCCAGGCAGCCTTTCATGCATCAAAGTTCCCCTCTGAAATAGCCTCTCAAATTCAAATCCAAATATTTAAGCCACTCTTGCTGTATTGCAAGAGTGGTTGCTGTTCATCTTTTCTTTGCAACTGAGTTTTGGTTCATGCACTAGCGTGGCGTTAGCTCTGTTGCAAGTAGCAAGGACAGGGAATGCAGACCCAGGAAAGGGAGTGCAAGCCAGGGCATGGCAGGATGGGGTAAGAGATGCAGGGCATCCACGTGGAACAGCTTCTGTGGGCCCCCCAGCACCCTTCTGCTGCTCACACGTTGTTGCTTAGGAGGAGCCCAGCGACACCGAGGGAGTGCGTGCCCCCTGCTTCCCCAGTCCACTGGATCAGCAGCTCTAGAGCGTGTACCTCTTGCCTGCAGTTAAGTTTCCACACTTTCCAGCTGTTAGTATGGATACACACACAGAACTGTAGAGAGAAAAGGCTCCCAAGTAGTTTGTTGCAAAACTGCCTCTCCTTGAAAGCCCTCTATCAATGGACTAGCTGGGGCTTTACCACTTTTCCACCCCCGACCCCCTAGGTGCAGCAGAGGAGAAAACACAGTCCCCTGAAAGCCTGGCAGCAGCAAAGCCAGGGCAGCACTGTTCGGGGGCAGCAGCCCCAGAAGGCAGCCTCACATCTGCAGCAAAGTACATGCAAAGAAGCAAGAGGAGCTCTGTCGGAGCCGGCGGGGTATGCTCACCATTTGTAGCCTCTGCCTTGCTTAAACTTGAGGGTAAGCCCTGTCTCCAGGCACAGGAGAAGGTTGAGCAGTGCTAGCAGCCAGTACTTGGGTTCTTTCTTCACTGCAGTCACTCTCCAGACCCCGATGAGGGAGTGCAGCACAAAGAGCAGGCGAGTAACCAGAGCATTGAGCAGCACCATCAGCTCCATCCTGGAGCAGCCCCCCTCCCCTTTTCCCCCCGCACCGCGGAGGCCCAGCGCTTTTTAGGAGCCCTGGGAAGTTACCCTGGGAATCACTGGGAAGCGTGTGCACCAGAGGCACACGGATCGCTTCTCCTCTTCCATCCCCACAAAGGAGCCCATTATAACAAAAAGAAACAGCGTTGCCCCTCCCCCAGACTTCCTGAAAACTTTTTAAAGGGAAGAAAAAAAAATAAAAATTGAAAAAGCTCACGGTTCCAGGCTGCAGTGGTTTGTAGTGCTCAGTAGAGCTCTGACCGCCCTGAGACAAGGGCGTCAAGGGGTTCTTTCTGTCCCCTCTGTCATCTGCTCAAGGACTAAAGACAGGGAGGTTTCTGTCCTGCAGTTACCATCTCTGCTAGCACCACTTGCTGCTCTCACCTCACAGATGTCTAGCAAAATTGCAAAGTGTAACAAGCTTTATTAATTTGACTCTTCCTTGCTAAAAGCTCTGCTGTATTCCTGAGACTGCAAAACCCTCTTTCCTCCCCCTCTGATAGATATAATTAATATTTGGGAGCTTTAAAAATTGTTCATTCAACACTGCAATACAGAAAGCAGAAACTGTGTATTTAATTCAATATTGCAATCCCTGTGTGCAACTGGCTTAGAAAGCAACAGAAGTTAGAAAAGCTAACCTGAAATTTAGTCAAGCTACTACTTGAATAATTTACACCCTGTCTCAGGATGAAGAAGCAGCCCCAGTAAGGATCTCAGAAATCAGAATGAAATCTGGGCTAGCACTAATGTTGCTCAATAGGGACATATACAAAAAATACACGAAAGCTTAACTGTTAGGTCTGCTACCTCTACCTTGATCTTTACCTTCTGTGACAACAGTTTATAACACGCAGAATATGTTTAAAAATTACTTTGATGTTTCTTACAGCGATTATAAATTTTATTTTAATTTACACTTGGATAACCAAAGAAAAATCTCTCCTTGATCAAAACTGTCACTGTGTTGCTCCGACTTTGCGTTCGTTTGCTGCCAAAGCACTGAAGTTGAGGTGCATCATTGTAAAACACAAATGGAGAATCAAGTCCATGTAACCTATTGCGGTGCTCCAAAGGTCTTAACTTCCTAGCTGATTTAATTTTAAATATCCTGTTGTATTTTAAACACAAGGAGATATTCTTCCAAGAGTTGTGACCTTTGTAAGATATTTTTCCTCAATTGCTAAGATCCAAGTTTTCCGCACTGCAAATCCAAGCCTCTTTCTCTGCTTTCCCTGTGAACTGCTGAAGCTGGTGCTGGCCAGCTGACATCCTTGGGGGTGGGGGGAGATGAGGAAGAAGACTACTTTAAAAAAGAAAACCAAAAGGCCATTCCACACTGCAGATCACTCGCTTGGGAAATGCCTGAGTAAATAAATGGACTGTGCAGTGTGCCTTTTTGAAGCAACAAAATTGAGTTCCTTGTGCACAGAGGAAAATAAATTCAAGTCAAGGGCCTACTACTGATAAACTGCTGCCAGCAGCCACCCTGCCATATCATGCCTTGAGTGCTGTTGGTTTGTAGCCCTTCCGTTGGTGTTAAAGGTCAAACCTTGTTGAAGAGGAAACAGGGAACAGACAGAATCGAGAGATTGTTTAAGCAAGATACTCCTCTGGGAGTGCTTGATGTCTAAGAAATTACATGAGGCAACTGGCATGTTTAACTGTTCACGGAGATCCTAACAGCACAGATGTCGTAGACTTCAAAAGATGATGATCAGTGGGACATTCCCATGATATCGTGTATTCAGGAAGGATGCAATGAGCGTTGCTGATAGCTAATAGTTCTGCATATTAAAGACACTTAAGAGCTGAACTGCTTAACAAAGTAATCTCATCAATGAACAATCCAGACTTTGCATCGATGGAAGTCCCAAACTTCAGTAGGAAGTAGTAGTATAATATCTGCCTAGTTGGCCAGTGGACCATGGTGGCAACACAACAGGCTGAGTAGAAGGAGGAAATAAGTAGGTGTGGATTACATCAGTTATTCAGTCTAGAAGAGGAAAAAATTACATCCAGACTTGACAGAGTACATTTTTAGAAGTCTCAATGGCTTTTTTTGTGGAGCAGCTGGTTCAGAAGCCCATGAGGGCAATGCTTGACTCTAATCCCGAGTGGGTTATACGATATGACTAGAAATGACTGTTGCAGTCATTTGAGACGTAAAATTACCTGTGATTTTCAGTAAGTAATGTCAGTTTCTGGAGGTTTCTATGATGTAGAGAGTAACAGCTGAAGAGCTCCCCTGAAACTGGGGGTCTTATGTGCTTAGACTCAGCATCTGCACAGAAGTAAGACAAGCTGGAGTTCTCTACCGTTGCTGTGCTCATCTTCAAAATGGAAACTAGACACAGATCAGGAAGTTTGTTAAAAGTGAGACAGATGGGGGACCTAACTCTTTGCAGAGAGTATGGATATTGCCTCGATAAATCACATGGGAAGTGCAGAGAAAATAACCATGTATCAAGAAAAACTTGAGAAAGAGTGAAAAGAAGCCAGCCTTGGCAGAGTGAGTGTATTGAGTTTTCTGTGAGGGGTTTTTGGTTGTGTCTTTGGTAACGGGGGAAGGGCTATGGAGATGGCCCTTTAAGAAGCTGCCTGAAAAGCTCCCCCTTTGCCTTTGTCAGACCCACCTCTGACCAGGGCCAAACCAATCAGCGCCCGTGCGAATTCATGGATTTAAGGGGTGTGCAGGGCATATCTCTCTCTCTCTCTCTCTGGCACCGGCCGTGACCAACGCAGCCCCACGTGCGGTGCGG